GTGTGTGTGTGTGTGTGTGTGTGTGTGTGTGTGTGTGTGTGCACGACATATATATATATATATATATATATATATACTGTAGATGTACACATAATTAGCATAACACTTTACAAAGTTGTCATTTACTGGGGGGAATCCTCTGATTTTTATAAGGAAATAATACAGATGACACTAAATTCACAAGTCATTTATACACTTAATGCGGACATCCTACATATACACAGTCCTCTGTACGTTTATGCATAATCATGCAAATGATCTCAAATTCCTAAATACAAGAGCATGCATAAACACACATACATAATATAGAAGGTTCTATTAGAAAGGTTCAAATCCTACCTTCATCTCCCATAAATATACACACATAATATAGAAGGTTCTATAAGAAAGGTTCAAATCCTGCTCTCATCTCCCATAATGCTCAGTTACGTAAAACAACAAATGGTGACTGCCAATGAACTACCACATTGCTCAGTTACGTAAAACAACAAATGGTGACTGCCGATGAACTACCACTTTGCTCAGTTATGTAAAACAACAAATGGTGACTGCCAATGAACTACCACATTGCTCAGTTACGTAAAACAACAAATGGTGACTTCCGATGAACTACCACTTTGCTCAGTTATGTAAAACAACAAATGATGACTGCCGATGAACTACCACTTTGCTCAGTTATGTAAAACAACAAATGATGATGCTGGTGAACTACCACTTTGCTCAGTTATGTAAAACAACAAATGGTGACTGCCAATGAACTACCACTTTGCTCAGTTATGTAAAACAACAAATGATGACTGCTGCTGAACTACCACTTTGTTCAGTTATGTAAAACAACAAAAGGTGACTACTGATGAACTACCACTTTACTCAGTCTCAACTTCAAACTAGACTACTGTTTTTTTTCTCTTTTAACTAGTCTACTCACTCCAAAACAATAAAGAAGCTTAAATAATTAATAAATGATTACGTTCAGAAAGTTTTAGCCTAAACACATTAGTATAAAAAGATACATGAAACAAAATTTATACCTGCTGTTGAGAATAGAAATTTGATGAATAAATATTACAGTATATGACTGAAAAATGTTTGTTTTAAGAACAACTTGCTATTTTTGTTTTGGTTGTTGTAGTAAATTGAGCTTCATTTTCTTAACAAATGACTTTCAACTCCAGTAACAAAAATCACAGTTTGATACCAATAAATCTAACTAAAATTTTCAACACATACATGGCAAATAAAAAAACCAAGAACAACCAATACAAGTAGGCCAAGATACATATGAAATTGTGTTCTTATTTTGCCATCAGGGATGGGGTACATATTGGAGATCAGTAATTGAATACAAATACAAGTACATCATATTTTTATGAATATGAAAATGAGTACAGGAAAAATATTAAATATTTGAATACGAATATGAATATATAAGAATGTATTCATGAATACTTTGTCAGGTAATATGCAATAAGGATAAAACAGCGGAAGATAAAATGTCAATACTTTTATTTTATGAAACAAACTTTTTAGAAACTGAAACAAACAAAATTTGAACAAATAATAACATTTCAATACTTTTATTTTTCAAAATTCAATAAAGTTTTAGAACAAAAAAATTTTTTAAAGGAGACTTGTAAATATTATGACTGTCCATTGTTCTATATAAAAATTAGTCTCTCAAATGTCTTGTCAGTGAGGCAGCAGCAATCACATGTGAGGGTTTTGCCTCTGATGCTAAACAAATGTTCAACTGGGTTAGAGGATGCTGGAAAACTCAGGTAGCATTTGGGTAGTAAAGATAGGGTAGGAAAGTTTTTTTTCATGGATCTTCCAACAATCTAGAGGGTTGCTTTCTTCAGGAATGCAAGGACCATTAAGGTAGGTGTTGATCTCTGCATCCTCTGAGGATGAGGTGGCTGGTTTCTTGGAGGCAGCAAAGAAACTAAAGAGCTTAAAAGTGGGGGAAATTTACAGTCCTCCTTTGGTTCCATGGTTGAAGGATTGTTGAGGAAACTTTCTTGACTTCTTGCTTCAGGAGCATTTGATTAGATCCATAGACCATAGGTCTAGTGAAACACCAGTCAAGTTTAAGTATGGGATCCAATGCCACAGCCAAGCAGGAGACACTTCATTGTTCATACTGAGTCAGCCGGGCATGAACAGATTTCTTTAGTGCAGAGAAAGACTGAAATTATATCTGGACTACATTCTGTCAATCTCAGTCATCAGCCCATAAATATATGACATAACATAACTAGAGGTAATAATGTTCTGACCCTGGGCAAAATCTGTTGCCTCATCAAAAGATGTCAGTATTGTCATTAAATCTGCAAACACAGTTCAATCATTAAAAGTAAGTTTTCATGTACGAGTATCTAAATTATCCAATTTTTCCTAGGGAATCTTCAATATAAAGGCTTAATAATTTTAATTTCAGAGTTCCATTGTGTTGGTGCTAATGACTGAACTCTGGCTTCTCCCTCAAGTAGATCAGTTGCCTGTGTTGATTTTTGAATGTAGGATACAATGGCTGATGCCTTGGAAATTACTTTCAACAGTGGTCCAACTTCTTTCATGCCATCCCTGACCACAAGCTGTATTGTGTGGGAAAAAGTAAGGGTCATGTTCAGGAAGAAATTCGGATAAATTGTCTGCTGGTTTAGATTCATCCAAAAGTTCATCTTATGAGTCACTATCTGTAGATGAGTTATCACCATCTCTCACACTAGTGTTTGCAGTTCAAACCCAGGCATGTAGAAAGCCTTGATCATGTTGAATGCACTATCAGATGTCACCTTGTTGACAATGAAGATTTACCATATTGAGCTGCAATGTTATCAGATGTGTGATGCTCTAAAAACACTGACATGCCAGCATGACTGTTTGAATTTTCCAGTTAAGTATAAAGTGACCAGCGACTCCAAGAAATCTGTGCATTTGTCTGCTACTCCAGATATCCACTGTGACATTGATGTTTGGTACAAGTTTCAGTAGAGAGATGACTTTATTGGACTTCACACTTGTTCTTGATCAACATTGTGGACAGATACTTGTGACTGGTAAGAATATAGCAAGAATCCATGGTTGCTGCTAGATCTTGAAAATCTTTTGACTCCATCATTGAGAATGGTTGCAGTGTACCGGAAATACAATTGATGAGTTTTTTTAGTTAGGTACTTCTGACAAAGGTGTGTACACTTATTTATATTTAGTTGTTTCTGTACTGTACGCTCTATTGTAGACTGCTGCACCTGGGTGGAAGTACCAAAGCCAGATAATATAGACTTCTATAGCTCTGTCTAATGATTACACTAGAAATATATATAAAAAATATCTCAGTTATATAATATAGAATATAGTTTATAATAAAAACATATAATAAATAAATAAAAATGATGAATATAGTTCAAAACATGAGAAATATAGGTTAATTATAGAATATGGTATATAATAATAAAAAAATATATAATAATAAATATCCAAGTTATATAATATAGAATATAGTTTAT